TTTATTAATTTTGGAGCGTAATTACGGCATTTTAGTCAAATGAAATTGACTTTTTTTATTAAGAGAAAATTGTTCACAGAGGTCAGAACTACCTACACCTAAATTTTTATAGTAATCGGAGTAATACTTATGGAATACGAGCAATTTTCGCACTCTCAATTTTTTTTTAATCACCTGATCAGTAACTTCAGAACGTAATTTTGGCACCTTTATGAAATTGACTATCTTTATTAATTGAAAGTTGTTCAGCAGGTTCGAAACTATTTAGATTTAAATTTTCGTAATCATTAGTATAATACTTGTGAAAACATTTGTATTTTCACAACAGTACTAATTTTTGAATTATGACAAGTAAGTTTTTTTAAATTTTTTTTTAAATTATGAATTTTTGAATTGATAAATCATTATTGAAATAATTACATAAAATTAATAAATAAAATAATTTTTGTTTTATATAAACTCAGATTTGAAATTGTATAATTTAAAGTAAAATTTAAACTTATATGATGATTTTGTATAAAGCTTTTAATAAAATTAAGTGTACAGTCAGAACTCGATATAACGATTCGTGATAAACCGATTTTAGCCTATAACGAACTTTTTTCTCAAACCAAAACTGTCTATATTAAATTTTATCACTATATACCGATTTTATTATAAATTTCACGATATTATATATAAAGAAGTCTGATCATAAACCAGTCATATATATTTATTCGCGATAAGCCGATTACCACCTAACTCAGGTCAGAATTAACTTATTCCAGGCTGGCACTATGCAGCGCAGCAGATCACCTGACATTTATGCCTTAATTTTGAAATTTAATAATTTCTGTAAGAATATGATATTAATAATAAACAAATTAGCACAGCATGTAATACAATTAAAATCATTTTTTTTATTAATAAAAATTTGGTATACCAAATTTTTATATTTTTTACTATATAATCAGTATATTAAGAATATTTGATTTATCGAATATCCAATATAACGATCCAAAATTGCCTAACCGGAAGGTTCGTTATATCGAGTTCTGACTGTATAAAGTTATATTAAAATTTTTGACCTTAGATCTGAGTTATGTATATAATGTTTGGGGTCCTATCATGCTGAAATGCCTAGTTAAAATGACTAGAGTGCATCCAACCTAGTATAGTTATTATGGAAGTATAGGGGATGGTTACTCTGCCTTTGCTCAAAAGAGTGAGGTTTAATGCTACACACCTGCCTTTACGGGTCCTTTAATTGACTACCCTTAGGTGGTTTGAGTGATTCGTTACTTGGTACTTAATGCATTTAGAGAGTACTCCTAAAAAGTATTAAAAAAAAAAAAAAATTAAAATATATTCATATTAAATTATAATTTTTTAAATTATTAATTTTATTGACTTATTATTAATAAAATCATAATTACTTTTCAATATATTATTATATAAAAGTAAAAATTTATTTATATATATACTGGCCTATAATAAATTACCAGATTTCTTAAAAGTGCTAGTAATTTTTTATAATACATAAAAGTTTTTAAATTTCCAATAAAATCATCCCAATTTTTTTTATTTAAAAGCTAATCCATTGTTGATTTTATATTTTGGGTAAAAAAAAAAATATTTTAAAATTTGAAAAAAATTATTTGATCATAAATAATGACAATTTTTTGAGGTTATTTTGTGTATTTATTTATATATAAATAACTTTTAGAATTTCAAATGTAGAATATTCTTAAATTATATTTTTAAAAATACAATTGATTAGCTTTCAAATAAAAAAAAAATTGATGAAAATTAACAGACTTTTATATATCTGAAAAAATGCCAATTTTATTTTCAAATTTATTAGTAATTTGCAATAAAATTAGCATTTTTTAAGATATATACAAAACTGTTAATTCTTATTATTTTGTACCAATTTTTTTTTATTTAAAAGCTAATCAATTGTAGTTTTTAAAAATATAATTAAAGAATGTTTTATATTTGAAATTCTAGTTATTTATATGTAAATAAATATAAAAACTCAGGTTATTTAACTCAGGAGGCAAGTTAGCAAAACTTATTATTAATATTTATCAAACTATTATATTTTACCATAATAAGAATATAATAAACTTTTATTGCAAAATTGATACGTGTAATAAAAAATAATGCATATTTACTAGTAAAAAGGGTAGCATAATTTAAATAGTTCTTTTTATTATTCAATCAATGTATAAAATTTTTAGTATCATAGTACTAACTCAATCGGATAATATAAAGGTGTTTTCTTAGTTTGCAGCATTTTACCACAAAAAAAAAAAGGCTTCGTGTATTCGATTGGCATAATAACATGACAAAAGTGATATTTATTAGGAAACGGGAACCGGAGCGAAAAAACTAAAGTTTGCGATTTCATTGGGTGACGATCACGTGACGGACAGAAATTCACGTGATCGATTTTTTTTTTTAGACATATATTGTCCTTCGCTTCGCTCCGGACAATGAAATGATAGACTAAAGGTGATATAACCAAAGTGAGAGCATGGTGCAAAGAAAAAAATTTCAATAATATAAAATTTACTAAAATAAAAGCATCCACTGATTAATTAATGTTTATCAAATTAAATATTTATGCAACAGCACAGTATTACAGTTTATTAGTTCTTTCATACATTAATAACTGTGTTAATAAATTTGCTATCGAAGAATTAAATAAGCCGCAACATACGTGCTAACCCGGTATAAATGTATACATAACTCATTGTTTATAAATGGCAAAAAAAAAACTTAACTTAATTAACAAATTAAGTTCGAGGACTAATTCTAACTTTCAACTCTGTACAGTTAGAAATCAATTGAGTATGAACTTTCAATGGCTCATGCTCATTCGCTAACTCAACATTATAATTTTTATAAACTGAAGATAATAATAAAAGTAACACGGTAGTTGCAAGATTTTTTCCGGGGCATATACGTTTACCTCCACCAAACGGCATCCAAGCAGATCTATCGTCATTATTATCACTGTTATAAAACCTATCTGGATCAAAAATTTTAGGATTATCCCAACACTTAGGATGTTTTTGTGCTCCTTCAAAATTTATATGAAAATCTGTACCAGCTGGCCATTTATATCCTGCAATTTCACATTCACTAGTAGTGTGACGGAATGTAAAAGGTAACGGTGGCATTAAACGAGTAGTTTCCTTAATGATAGCTTCACAATATTTAAGTTTTCTGAGATCGTTGCATGATAAGCAAAATTTACCAGAAGATTTAGGTATAATAGAATCAATTTCTGAAAGCATTTTTTCTTTTACATTGGGATGTTTACAAAGGTAGTAGGTCATGAAACAAAATGTGTCAGCAGTCTAAATTATAGTAAACAGAATTAAATATGAAATCAATAATCAAAATATTATATATTAGAGAGAAAAGTAATACTCACAGTATCTGATCCACCCAAAAAGATATCTAGCAAATTCATTCTTATCTCTTTATCAGTCATAGGTTTAAAATTCTCGCCTTCAACAATAGTTTCTGCTGTCATTAAAGAAGTAAGCATATCTGTTTTCATTCTTGTTTCTGGCATTTCTTCGATTTCAGTTCTTCTCATTTTAATAATATTATCAAATTTATTATACAAGTAATCACGGTTATTTAAATAAGAGTTTGATTTGCTTCTGAACATTGGAATGTAATGTCTAGTAAAAGGGCTATAGAACGAGAAAAACAAGAGGCTTTCAAGAAATTTTAAGAGTGCATTGACAAAGTTGTTTCCATCTTCAACTAGCGCATCAGGAACTTCGGATTTGTTGATGCTTAGTGTGTTATAGTAAGAAGTAATTGAATACGTGCGTTTTCCAGTGGAAAGTATTGAAGTAACATCATTAGTAAATCCGTGAAACCATGCTGAAAAATCTGTTTCTAATGTCCAATTATTATTATCGTTATTCTTCTTCTTTGAAGCATTTTGCTTTCCAAGGGATTCCCAATAACCGCACAATTCTTCATATATTTGATTTATTGGTATTATAGATGCATCAATAAATTTAGTTGACAATGCCTCAGTAAAGAACTGTTTATTATAATTCCAACTTTTATAATTTTCATTGAAGAAAAGTCCATGGTTGCACATTCCCAATTCAACTGTACCTGGAGAATTTGGAAGTCTCATGAAAAATTGCTGCGGAGCAAAGAGTTTTATAATATAATCTGGCCGTGAAAGAATGATATATCTGCGATCGAGCATCAATTCACAAATATCTCCATATTTTTGTTGACATTGTCCATAAAATTTCTTTACATCGCCATAGTTATGGCCGTTTCCAATATATGGTAAAGGAAATGGTCCAGGAAGTGGATTGGGACGAGTATAGTATTTGTAATAAAAGTTAAAGATATAGGTAGAGATACAAGTAGCAAAGATTAAAATGAATAAATCTATAGTATTAGCAGATTTAATGGATTCGATAATATTTTGAATAGGCATTTTTATTTTTTTTGTGTGAATTTGATGTTGTTTGGTTTATTATTTTTATAATGAATTTTTTGCGAAATATGGTAGTCATTGTTTACTTGCAATGACGGATATAAAAAGTTACGCCAAACAGGTTTTAAATGTAATAAATCTTTTTATTACGATAGCCATATTAAAATTATCATAAGTTCATGCAGATTTTATAATGTCATATTACTATGTATTAGCATAATAATAAAATTATTGGATAGTAACGGGAGTTTATTATAAAAATTGCATGAACGGTCCCGTCAAACCAAATCAGTTATAATTCATCTTTTAATTATCACTAGACATGCATTCTTCAACTCAACATCCATTATAGATAGAAATACGATTTCACTACATTGGGACCGACGATTCGAACGAGCTATAATTCATCTTTTTATTATCACTAGATGGCGACTTTTAATGTTTTATTATTAGTAAAAAATGGAAAGATCCAAGTTGAATTTACTGAATATTTTGACTTTTAAATTTATCAAAATGTTCATTTGGTTCTTAAAAATATTTTGAATGATAACAGTTAAAATATTATATTGTATAAATTGCAATGTTACATTTGACCCAAATTTAAGCCGGAATTACGATTTTTGCCAGAATTAAGAAAATTTTGGCCAGAATTATATATTCGAAAATCATTAATTTAAAGAAAAAAATTCCCAAGCAAATGCGCCATAATTATTAATATGGCCATCATAATAAAAAAAAATTGGGGTAACATGTGCAGTAACTGACATATATAGTAAATTGGTGGACTGAAAATTCTCACGCAACTCCCTCAATGACAAAAATTACGTTTCTTGACCCCTCCTCGTATTACTTTCTTGACTAGGTCAAAATATGCATGATTATGTATGACAAAAATGTTCCTTTCTTTGACTTGAAACGCGGATATGTGATAAACAAAAGAGAAATATATATATATATATTTTATCATATTTTTATTTAACAAAAATAATACTTTTTTATTTTTACAATATTGATAAAATTTAAATAACTTTATTTTATTTACAAAAGATAGCCAATAAATAGATTACATTTAAGAGAAGTAAATTAATTAGGCAATAAATACTAAAATACAACCGCATAAAACCAAATATTAAAATAAAAAAAAAAATAATAAATTATTTTTTCAATAATCATTAATGAGTACTATATTATTTATTTCAATTAATCAATTTTTGTGTCTATAACTCTTGAAAAAATAAAAATAACAACGCTTGCAGGTCAAAAAAAGAACATTTTTGTCACACATAATTATGCATATTTTGACCGGGTCAAGAAAGTAATATTAGGAAGGTTAAGAACGTAATTTTGGCCCCTGGAAACCCTAATAGATCATTACATTAATACCGAGTTAAAAGCACTTCATATAAATAAGCAAATGTTTCACTTTGATCAGATTTATTATTAGTATTATTTGTCATGATTGCTTTGACTAATATATATTTAATGTGAGTCCGGAATAATGATCATCAATCCGGGATTTTGCTGAGCCACATGTATACGAAAATAAGTGGATTACCAGACAAGTCTGTGTGACATATTTAATTTTCGAAAAGTCATGTACGAAAGTATAATGATTCCACATTCATGTGCTTTCATAGAACTCTTGACATCATATGGTAATGTTAATCCTTTTTAAGCAAGGTATTTACTATATGTTATTCATGAGTTGAATAAGAAATGTTTGGGAGTAGCTTATTAAAGAAATATATCACCTTAAAGATCATTAATTATATATATTGAAGTAAATTAAAATGAAATTTAAATATAAATAATCTATTAATGTAAATAAATTGGTAAACTGATTCAATGTTTATGGAATGGAAGGTATAAAGTGTGAAACTTTATCCAGCTTTTCCTTCTCACAAAAAATTAAGGTATGTATATATGCTATAAGTTATGTATATATGGAAGCAAGTTTTTCCTTTTGTATTTAGGAAGAAGTGAAAATGGCCAATACTATTATTACTCTCAACTGTCTTCTTTTACCTCACACCTTGCCTGAAAGAACAGGTTTAATGTAAGAAAGCATTATTATACTTGAATTTCTACCAAGTACTACAAAACAGTTGATTAGTTAAAGGATTAAGATTAGAGAAAAATAGCCATTCTTATTTGAAAAGATTGCAAAATCGATGATACCAGAGAAGATACATTTATTGATAAACCAATTAGTAAATATAATTTTGGAAATGGAAAAGGAATGGCTCCATATAAGTTGATTTCTAAGTATTTTCAAAACACAATATTCCATTTTTATATAGTTAAATATATATACTTTTAGTACATTAATTTTATTTTAAAATAATTAGACTTTATTTTTTTAGCAAAATCTCTTGACAGTTATCATATGATGCAATATCTGTGCAATTTTTTTTTTAATTTTAAACTTTATTAATATTGTAATATTTATGCTATATAATTTATTACAATGTAAACGTTTTTAGAATATCCGTTAAATAAAGTATCTATCTAGTAAAACAAAAACAAATAACTTATTCTTCCAAATATGTATAAAATTAATTAACTCGGTGAATCCTTAAAGAAATTAATCTCTGTATAGTATTAATTATTAAAGGTACTTAAATTGGATATAAATAATATATTTAGCTATAAAACTAAACTCAATCCCTACTTTATTATTTTAGAATTAATTTACAATTTGTTGAAACTTTATTGAATATCTATTTACCATCAGTCTTATCTTTGTTTCTGAACTGTTACTATATGTTTCTTGTCTTTATTCAATAATACAGTTGCTGAATCTATATCTTTTTTTTATGATTTCTCTTTTTTAGTTGAAACTTTATTTCTATTAATTCTCTAAATACAATTACTAAAGTCTGAAATCTAAATTTAATTTATTAAATTTTTTGACTATTTCTTTACTTAATACTGTAAATATTATAGAACTTGTTAACATATCTATAAATTATTTATCCTTTAAAAGAGTAAGTGTGTTATTTATTATGAATATTTGTTGATATCTCAGTTTGTCTTTTTTTATTATTTATTTTATTCTTTTATCTGAAATCTATTGCCTAAATTTTCATTCTTAGCTGAATCATACAGTATATAACTTTGAATAAATCTGATTCATTATTAAAATACATTAAAATATACTTTACTTAGTTAATTTTAATGATTTTAGCAAAATGATCCTTATATATCTTTATATAATTCTTAATAATATTATGTTCATTTTTCTTGATTTTTTGATCACTTAATTTTTTAACTACTTGATAATTATATTTTTTCTAATATCACTAAATGAAATCTTACATCAAGTATTCTCAAAAAATATAAATGTTTATTTTTCGTTATTATTATATTAGATCAATTTTTTAGAAAAATTTGATTTACATTATTTTGTTAAGCAAATTTAATTTAAACAGTTTTATATTTGTACTTTTGTTTAACTATTAATCTTTTTATATAGTCTGCTTATTTTATCACTTTTTTTAATATACTAAAAATTATGTGATACTTTAGCAACATGTTTATTCAAATAATTGCTATTAGAAGTTATTTTAACTGGAATTTTAACAATCTTTTTAATCTGATTTTTCTATTATATAATATCAATTTTTGTCGATTAGTATTATATTTCTTATAAGCTGATTTTTCTCATATAATTCAGTATATTGATGTTCTTTATTGTTATTTATTTCTTTGCAGTTACATCAAATTCTAAATTCTTCATCAATAAATTTTTTAGAGTAAAAATCTGCAAAAATCTTCAGCCTAAATTTCTGCGTAGATCTGCTAACCTGTCAATGTACATCAGAGTAGAGTTACGATCTGGATGAATCTAAAAAAGCATATTTTGGTAATTACATACAGATTTTAATTAATAAAGATTAAATTGTTTTTTATATATTATAAGACTGTATTTCAATGCACAATCTAGTAATTTAAAAAATTACTATTTAATACAAAAAAAAAGAGAAAATAAAATGGATTGATTTTTCATCCAATCCGGATGAATTTCAATCAGTTTTAATTTTCTCTCCACTTTTATTTTTAAAGACAATTTTTTTTTATCGTATTATGTATTGATAGATATTCATAAGATATCTCAAAAAAAAATCCTTTTTATTGACTTAATATTCATAGAATGGCAGAAATGTGTTTATTTATGGATTAACAGATCGCAACTCTATATCAGAGAAAAATTTTTAATAAAATTTGTGCAAATCTGTAAGTGTTAAAAAATCTGCGCAAAATTTTAAAAATAAATCTTTGGAAATCTTTGGAATATTAAAAAAATTTATTATTGAACGCATTAATTAATTCATTATAAACTGAAATCCTTTTATTAAACTATATTTGTATGTTATTGAACAGGACATCAAAATATCAGCCGAAGGCTAATATAGCCTGTTCAATAACAATATTATTATATGTGATATTAGGATTAGTATGTGTGCTAATATAATTATATTGTTGATTATCATTAAAAATATTAGGCATGATAACAAAAATATCAGTACAATAAATTCCACACAATCCTAATGAGCATGTAATAATTAATAATATTTACAAAATTAAAAAAAAATACATGAAATCTATTACATATTGAAAGTAATAAAAGAAAAAAAAATGTTTATTAATTATTTACACTAAAATCAAAGTTCCGTCATCTTTACTTCAAATTCATAAGTTATTAATGGTTTGGACATTGTTCCAGTTGATTTGATTCCAACAAACAATTAACAAAATAAATGTAGTTAAAGTCCTAGTAAAAGATTAAAAGTAAATAAATATCTTCAAAATCCAGCGTCTAAGCAATACCTTTAAAATTATTGAGTCTGAGACTGTACCTTTAGCGTCTTGGACCTACAAAAATAAAAACTAACATTAGTTAACGTTCGTTAAATAAAAATAAAAAAAAAAATTATTTTTTTTTGAAGTTTACCTTCAAAATTCTTTCGTCTAGGAGCCAAAAAACAAAAACTCTACAAAAAAAACACCTGAAACATTAGTAAACGTTTTGCAAATTAAAAAAAAATATAAAGAATTTTGAAGTTTTACCTTCAAAATTCTTTTCAGAAGGTATCCAGAATAATGAAGACCTACAAAAAAAAAGAAATATTAGAAAATGTTTGCTTAAATAAAAAAATATGAAAGAATTTTGAAGAAATTTTACCTTCAAAATTCCGTCAAAAGCAGTAAAACCAAAACTTATAAAAAATAAAATGAAATATTAGTAATGTTTCGTTAAATAAAAAAAAATATTTTTTTGAAGGTTTACCTTCAAAATGCCACCCAAAAAGCTATAAATCTACAAAAATAGAAAATTGAAGTATTAATTAATATTTTATTTAAATAAAAAAAAAAAAATAAATTAATTAATTCAAAGAATTACCTTTGAAATTCCCATCCAAGAGAGCCGATATTCTAGATTTACAAAAAAAAAGATAAAAACAAACGTTAGTAAACGTTTGTTTAAATAAAAAAGAAAAAAAAATCAAAGTTTTACTACTTTCAATATGAGAGTTCGGAACTTGTCTTTCAGCTTTCTTTACCTAAAAAAAAAGAAATATGAACGTTAGTGAACATTAAATAAAAAGAGAAAACTAAAAATTCAAAAGTTTTACTTTTGAAATTTCATCCTAAAGGCATTCAGAAAGCTGAAAATTTACAAAAATAAAACTGAAACGTTAGTTAACATTTCGTTTAAATAAAATAAGAATAGAATTTTGAAGTATTACCTTTAAAATTCTGTTCAGAAGCTGAAAACTTAAAAAAAAAAAAAAACATTAGAAACGTTCTTTTATAAAAAATAAAAAAAAAATTATAAAGTTTCATAATGAAATGTTGTGAAACTTACTATTTTTTCATTTTGGAAACTTTGAAGTATCAGAACCTACAAAATAAAAATAATAAAGAACGTTAAAAATGTTCTTTTATAAAAAAAATTATAAAAGTTTTGCAACGAAACGTTACAAAACTTACTACTTACTCTTTATCCGTTTTGAAAACTTTAAAGTATTAAAATCTATAAAAAAAAATACCTGAAACATTAGTAAACGTTTTGTTTAAATAAAAAC